TCCCATAGAGACACCTCAGCTCAGAGAACACAACTACGTTAGAATATTCTTTACGATAAATCGACCAGTTAATTGATTTACATTCTTGTCTCATTTAACCTACATTCTTTAGTCTTATCTAAATTAACTTGCAGCTGTCCGTGTCCATTTGGTTACTAAGTTCATTACGTGTTTGTTGCACCAATCGATGGAAAAGTGCTCTGCAGTCAGGACAGAATGAGGTTTGAGTCCGATTCCCTGCCAACGAATTCTTAAAAACTTCACCTAGTCTAGCAGTCCGTAACAAGAGGGACTCTTAGGCTGTTAAAATATATTAGAGTGACTGCATTTATATTCTATGTCAATTATAATCTTGATGATTAATGATGATAATATTTCGGATGATGTCATTAGTGTGAGAAGAAGGATATATGAGAAAGAATATCTGCCACTCAGTTAGTGACTTAAATATGAGGATATCATCATGAGCTGTCATAAGTCACAGAACCACTGAAAAACCCGGGGATACCGCCGGACAGCTGTTTCGCCATCCTAGTTTAGAGACTCTTCAGCAGTACTCACCCACTGGGGTTCATGGACTATTGGATCGGGTCCTAGAAGCCTAATGGTCTACTAGCTTACCTTGTAATCGGAAGGTCTTAGGTTGGAACCCCGGTGGGTGCGTACTACCGAAGAGCTCCAAACTAGGCTGACAAAACAGTCGGCTGTCCAGTACTCTCAACTGGTTTCCCAGTGGTTCTGTTACCGATGCCAGCGCATGATGGAATCTTGCAACCAATTAAATCCCTGTGAAACAACACTTAAATATGCGGAGTCAGACGAAGATATACTTGATATTTCACTATCATACTAATAATTATGTATCTCTATGTCAGCAGTCCCATGTAAGCGTAGGATTTGTAATTGCATTTGTGGAATAATTTTGTCGAACATGTTCGTTTTCATAACAGCGTTTACCTTTTTGCATTGTGGACATTTTTTGATCACCTTCATCATATTACCTTAGACATTGTGTGTGTATGTGTGTGTGGTGTTAGGACTTAAATTGTTAAGAAGCAATATTACACTACATATCTTTCATATATCTTCTTATTATACTACTTAAATTCAGTGATGTCTAGTAGAATAGATAGCATTTCTCACCAACTATTTTGTTTTGAGAATTCCCTTTGAATATTTTAATACTGTTGTGTGTACTGTACTACTTATAGGCAGGTTTATGAGTAGTATGTTGGGTAACGTTTTGTCATTTTCGTCATTTCGCTGACAACCATCGATTTGTGTGTATCTAATAACTGAGGCTGACTGGCGATAGCGGTAGGGGTGCATTCCACAATAGGCTGGGTGGGTGGCAGCTTCTCTTGTCAATCTCCATCTTCACAGATATGTCAGCGTCACAGATCCACAACCAGTCAGATTTTGGATACAATTACTTGATGACAACTCGGCTGGCACTCGTTCGAACTGTGGTGAGCAGCTTCGAAGTCACCCGCCACTCAACAAGGTCTCCAAGACTACCGGATTCACATTCTTCTCGTGCACGCTGATCAGATCCGTGACAGCATTGAAGACCTTCAGAAGTGCCTTTATGCCTCTTTTTCTAAACTAAAGTAAAGAAACTGATAACGGCAGGGTAATTTTTCTTAGCACACGGAGACATAATGGAAATTATAAACTATACAGTGATGTCGCAGTTTTTCAATAACTGGCTGAATTTCAACCGTGATAGGCACACACTACTGAAGTTGTCCCAAACAAGGCTGGAGAAACAGCTATCCAGTAGTCCTTGGTTTTCCGTTGATTCTCAAATTGATGTCAACTGGTAAATCAGCCATGACCATTTAAATCCCTACAAACCGATACTAGATAATCAGAATGTTTTTACATCTTATGCACCACTAACTACTTATATGCTTTTTAGTAGTTGAAAAGAGGAAAGAGAATAAACTGCGCTATGCAAAAATTTTTAAATATATATTCAGAACTAAAAGGTTGAAATCTCAATTTAACAGGGAAGCGTTTTGGTACTATCTATAAGAATACCGACCGTCTTATCATCAATTCTATGAACTGTATCTAATGGGAGTGGGGAAAGGGAATCCCACCTACTGAATGGGATAGTGATTCGACCGACTTAGAGCATTTCTTATTATTTTTAAGATTTCATAAAAGGTCATTTATAAAAATACTTTGGTTAGATGAAAATGATGAATCATAAGAATTTTTACCAGGAAGAGATCAATATATCGAAAGCCTAAGTGGAACGGCCAGCTGACAAACTTTTATATTTGGGTACCCATTAGTCGCAAGCAGTACCTGATAATATTGCTTGCGACTAGAATCTGTGGAATCTGAAGCCTCGAATCATTAAAAGACGAGATCACTCTTTTGAAGAAGACAACGTTTGAGAATCGCTATCTTTAACGCTTTATAGATAAGCACATAAAGTCGGAAATCAACAAAGAACACCCCATCTCTCTGCTGAAGAAGATGCTTTGCATGAACTTGGCTTTCAAAGGCGATTTTCTGGCCGGCATCCTAAAGAGGAGAATATCCAACACCCTGAAGAGAACAGTCTCTGCTGCTGCATTGCGAGTGGTATTCTCATTCTGCCAATTGTTCCTCAACAACTCCGAAGGTCAACTATCGCATTTAGCCACTTCTATGTGTATCTACCAATTTACTTGCTCATGTGAAGCTAGCGAGATATACAGGTCGTTCGATGAGTGTTTTATCTAAAATTAGCCGAAGAACATTATCCTGCTTCGCTACGAAAAGGCAGCAGTGGATCAATAAGGAGTGCTATAAATGCACATATATTCAACACTGGTGACTCACTATGTGTAAGGAGAATTCATTCGAAGTCATCCACAAAGTCATCATACCGTCCACCATCGATTAAACAAACTGGGTAATTAACTTGTCAACAAGATCCTTAAGCTCCGATGAAATAGAAAATAGATATATGCAGATTTTGATTGGCTGTCGGTTAGCTGGCTTCCTATTGGTCTAAAATATAAGTTAAAGCGGTAATCTTTTTATTGTGACACGGAAATTCACAGTCAGTATGATTTAGGGCTTACCTTACCATTATATAATGGCGTGTTAATTTTTTTGGTATGAGTGTAGTGTGATAGTCACACGTTATTTGGATGCATTGGTGGTGTTTAAAGTACATTAAGATGTATGAGAATGTCTAGTAAGTGAATATAAATCAACAATAATTTCGATGCATTTATTTTAAGTCCAAAATAGGATGTATGCATTTTTGATTACTAGGCGAATAAAATTTAACTACAATTTCTAAAAATTTAATGTATCCTTAATTAGTACATATAGATAAATGTATGTATTTTCAAGTATTGGTTTTTGTAGGGATTTTGTTTGATTGCATGGAGGATTTAATCATGACCTGACATCAGTTAGAGAACCGCAGGAAAACCTGGGAGTACTGGACAGCTGTTTCGTCCTAGTTTGGGACTCTTCATCAATACGCACCCACCGGGATTCGAACCCAGGACCTTCTGGTTACAAGGCGAGCTCACTAGTGACTGGCCCTATTCAGGCAGTTAACCTGGGGTTCTAGTGGGAAGCCGTGACCAGTAGGGTACAGCAGGTCGAAGATGAGGCAGTAACTCATCGAAGAAGACATTGCGAAGTGGTCGCGCTATGTCGTGAATTGGCAGAAGTTAGAATTCAAGAACCATTGGATCGGGTCCCAGTGGCTCAATGGTCTACGAGCTCGCCTTGTAACCAGAAGGTCCTGGGTTCGAACGATGGCGGTGGGTGCGTACTGCTGAGGAGTCCCAAACTAGGACGAAACAGCTGTCCAGTACTCCATGTTGGTTTTCCAGTGGTTCTCTAACTGATGTCAGCTCATGATTAAATCCTGCATGAAATGTATGTATTAACTAATCTACTTTTTTAAGTTGTCAATTCAATGACCTTTGAGATTTGTGCATACTAGGTCAGCATAAATCAAGTAAATTTCCCTTCAAACGGCTGAGAGCGACAGTTTAAAGCATACTTTGGTTGATTATTTCGTGATGAAAGCAATTTGGAGTCAGTTATAAATTACACCGATCCGTGTCTTATTCATACGTTTTTCAGCTGAGGATTTCCGTTTCATAGCATATCCTGAATAACGGTGATTAATACGATTTATCACTTAGACCGCAGCACCACCAAGCTTAAAACAATTCTAAATTTATTCTAACCTATTCCTCGATAATGCCTTTTTATGGTAACTGAAGATCATATTTACCCACCATGTTCTGAAATGACACAGGTCGTGCTTAAAAAGACAACTGCGTGCTGAATCAAAACTTTCCACTCTGGAGTAACGCTAGTTCATGCTTAATATGTCCTGTGAGGGCTGGAACAACGTTGATAAGCAAACCCAGTAGGTTCGATTTAGTGCCACTCATGCTGAAAAATCAGCGCACAGGTTCACTGTCAAACAATGGCAAAACAGTAAGGGAGTTTGATGTTACTATTATTAGCATAGTCTATGTTACTATATTAGCATAGTATACGTTAATTAGCTCAATGATTGCAGGTTTACAATAATCTTTGACTACCAACATAATAACTGGGATCTTCAGGCTAAAAATAAGCTAACTAGTAGCACCCAGTGACTAATGTCTCTTCCTGTATAGCCAAGGCAGAAGTAGGGATTGTACATACATCTCTTTTTGTACACAAAGGTGTCTGGCTGGTTTGAATTCGTAAATGGTCAAGGTTTCCTCTGTCTTTTGAAGTCTATAACGAAAAAACGAGGCCGGCAGGTTATCATGAATTGGATAGATGATGATCTTAAAATCATGCTGAGGGTTGGTAGAGTGATAGAGGAGGATTCGATCAAGTGGTGCAGAATAGAGCTTCGCACTCCCTTCCTCTTTCTCCCTTGTAAATCCATGCTGCTAGAATATGTATGTTTAGTTACTAACCTTTATCTTATTCGAAGCCCTCTTTTTTTTCTCTGTGTCTGCATATTTTAGATATCTAGTGCTGATCATCTTCCAATGAAACCGTCTTCTTCTTTAACTGATATCGACAAATTCAAGGTGTTTGACAAAAATATGTCCTATACAAGCTATGCTGGAATTGCTGCACTCGCGTCTGTTTTACTTCTATTTTGGTTGAATCGATGAAGTAGAGAATATCCGGTTTTGATGATGATGATGATGTAGTTATTTTTTTTTTAAATTTTTGATTTTTCGTCTGTTTTCTTACTTATTTATGTGTGAAATACTCCCAGTTTTCTACTGTAATCCCCCGGCGCCCCTCCCCCCGACGGCTCATGATATATGTATGACCTTTTGGTTGGTTTGTAAACACCTTTACTCCAAATAATTCGATTCCTCCTCCTCTTCTTCGTGTATTACTACTGCATGAAATTGAGTCCTTCTTTAGATTGATATAGTTGATGAGAAATGTATATATATATATATATATATATATATATATATATATGGATATATGGATATTTACATATTTTTGCTTGTGTGTGTAGTATTATTTTTTACTGGTTCCCTAATAAAGAAAAAAGTGCTTCTTCTTCTTCTCTGATTAGTGTTCAAATGATTTTATTGATTGATTGATTGATTAGTGAATATTTTTCTATATGTGTGTATATTTTCTTCATTTTTCTTCAATGTGTAGTAGATTGTTGGCTATAAAGTTGTACGAGTTGATCACGGATTGATATCAGTTAGAGAACCATTGAAAACCAGGGAGTACTGGACTCGTAAAACATAACTAATCCTTACAAACCAAAACTATATAAAGTTGTACTCATGTTGTTTAATTCTTTCTTATGCTAACTTCATGAGATAATATAAATATACACTGTGGTTTTGTATGGATAAACTTGTGTGGTATTGTGTGTCTTTGCATTCATTTATTCAGACCTCTGACTGAGGAACATACGGCCTCAGTCGGACGCCTGCGTTGCGTCTGGTTTTCATCTGGCTCCACGTCTGTCCCACATGCTTTCATCTCCTGTGTTCGCATGACCTTATGCTGGAATCTACGAATGTTGGGCATGCGATTCGCTCCCACTGTGAAATTTAAGAAATAGGAAGTGAAGTGGTTGATGGAGCGTATTGACTTCGATTCATTTATTTGTTGGGGGTGGGGTGAGGGGGAAGTTGTATCAGCCCCAGAGCTAACGGATTGGTCGCTGACGAAATCTCAGCACGGATACAGAAGGCTAGTTTTTGTATATGCTAGTTTATGTCGTCTCTGGCGTAGACGTGATTTCCGGCTGTCTGGCTGTCGACCAAAGGACGTGTGTACTGTTCAGCAGTTCTCTCCGTCCTCCTGCTTCATAGCTGTAAAACCTGGCCATTGAAAGTGGGAGATATGACAACGCCGCCAGCTAGCTAGGGTGGGTAATATTGAGGTTAGGCGTTGAGTGCTAGGTAATGAGAGGATGTCAATAGACGAGGCTGTGAAGTTACATTGATTGGGGAGATGGTTAGGACATTTGTTATGTATGCCTAGTCATCGCCTTCCTCGACAATGGGCAATGTTAGCAGACATAGGGTCAGGCTGGGAAAGAGCTAGCGGCAGTCAAACCAAATCATGGCACCAGCAAATGAAATCCACAACAGTTAATTTAAGCCATGTAGGAAGGTGTGAACTTCCTGACTGGTTGTGGTCCTTGGGTTGGTAAAAACCAATGGTTGGAAACAATTGGTGATATGGTTCAAAATAGTTGTCAATGGTTGACGCAGATTCATCCACTCCTTGTGACTTATAATTTCCAATGAAACTATATTGTTTTCCGTTATTACTATTCCTTTTGTTCCATATGCCTGTCTACTGTCTCTGTTATGCTTTTATTCTACTTTCTTCCTTTCCTTTGTGTGTGGAGACTTGAACTGGTGCACATCGATGCAGAATTCTATGTTGTAACCAGTCCGTCCCCCATATCACTCTCCTCCTGACTACCAACTAACTTGCTGCTTCTCATTTGAGTTCTACTCGAGAGGGAGAGCTTGGTGTTTTTTGATGTCACTCACTTGATGGTTTGTTTTCTCAGAGTATAGCCTCCAATCCACCTCTATTTCTTCCTGCATATTTTCTGCGCAATTGGTTCCTGTTGGGTTGGCTGGTTCATTGTCAGACATCCCCGTATTGGTGATTTTTGCTGGTTGTACATCTGATCTTGAGTGAAGACAACTGCTGATGAAGGTTTGTAGTTTGTTCGAAGTAGCCTTCGTGATGCGCCTAGTCTCTGTCTGTGAGTAGTTGATGATATAATGGTGTTATCTAATTCAAATGGTTGGTGTCACATTGTTTTTCCCCTATCAGTTTTTACATTCCATGTCGAGCATAGAGTTTTCCTCATGTTTGAACTTCAAAAGTGGGGAGAGGGGATTGGTTACTGGCCTCATTCACCAACCTGTCCGGCCCCCTTTCTCCGGGGTCACTTATTTTCTGCTGGCTAGTAAATCTGTTGATTTTTAGGAGAAGCAGAGGGAGAGATAGTCAGTTAGGGAGCAAACCTGGACGGTCGTCTTACTAGCATTCTATCAGTGGACCGCCGACAAACAGCTTAGGCCACCTTTTTGCTCTCATGTGTAATATATTAAGAAGCTCTCTTTAGGTTAGACCACTGACTGATATCGGTTAGAGAACCATTGAAAACCTGGCACCGGAGTACTGAACGGCTGTTTCTTCCCAGTTTGGGGCTCATCAGTAGTACGCACCCAGTGTCAGGGTTCGAACCCAGGACCTTCCGGTTACAAGGCAAGCTCGTATACCGTTCATTCACTGGGAATCCTCTCAATGGCCAACCCATGAATTCTAACTTCTACCAATTTTGTGATTTTAGCGCGACATGCACCAAGCAAAATAATATCGGGTTTCACAAAGTTAACGGACTCACCTTTCTCTTTTTTTCTTTCCTTCACGTTCCCCAGTGGAACATAGGACTTCATGCTAGTGGCTTGAAGTTTCTGTAGCAGTGTTTATTTTACAGGATGAAGTTGCAAGCCTCATGCCCAACCTTTCCTCTTTACCAGCGTTATTTCTGGCTTGGCGAGGTAAAGGAGTGCCGCCGGTGGCCGAGGATCGAACTCCGGACCATGTGTATGGTCGGCTAGCGTCCTAACCGCTGTGCCACCGATGCATGCACCTTTCTTGGTGAGCGCCTAATAGATTGCAGCCTTTGTCAAGCAGTACGTTTTGACGACTAACCCTCGACATCATTACAACAAACTGATCTGGACAGATATATATTACTTTGTCTACTAATTCTTTTGTCTGTTTTTGTAAATCATGAAACGTATGAACACTGTCAATTAAATTATAGTCAGTGCTTTGGCTACATGAAAGCGCTGTGTTGAGAATGTTTTGTCACTTTTTGCCTGATTATCCGTCTCATTGTAGTCAAGTTGATATGAGCGTTAATACACTTGTCGTTGGGCTAACGAATTTCCCATCTAGTCGATTTGTGAGCTAATTGTTCTAACCACTATTGTGATGAGAGACCTGTCTGCTAGCCAAAATTGGTAGACAGCAATTCACGTCAATGTTTACGTCCCAAATCTTGTTTATGCTAAAAAAAATTAACAAGAACAGAAAAGGACCTTGGAAGAGCAGCGCTTTATCCACGCGTCAAAATGATGTTTAGAGACTGACGGTATTGACGTTCACGGATAGTACGAAGTATACTAATGCAAGATCTAATACCTACAACTTTTATAGTATTTGTTCCGCGTAGACCAAAGGCTAAGCAAAAGACAATATTTGATCGTCCAAATTACGAGATATATTTCGGAACCAAATTTGGAGTGCGATATGATTGCTTAGCTGGCTAGGGATCGTGCACGAACGTGACACGCCGGAGTACCAAATGGCGTGTATGCTTGACCAGGAGCCTTCAGTTAAACAATCCGACTTAACAGTGAGGGTCAGCATCTAATATTCAGTGATGATTGCTGTGGTCAGTAATTTTGGGGAATTATTTACCGCTACAGATGTATTCCGAATTGGTCAGTAGTAAACTAACAGAAATGCTTTTTTATGCGTTGATAACGTGGAGATTATCAATATTTTGGAGTCTGAAGAACTACTGAGAGCTAAGTGTGAGGAAGGCGTTAGCGTGCTGTCGGCCAACCAGAATCAACAACGTGATGCTGCTGACGTCATGACAGACGTGCGAACCCAAGTCAGAATAGTGATGGCACGATTGGCCCAGAATCTGTTGCCTGGCTCTTGTCTTCTGTTGTTACAACACTATTAGTTGCAACAACAAACGATAGGGTACCACGAAAAACGCGTCGGAAGAAGAGAAGACAAACCGTTGACGTGATAAATTAAAACAGCCAGCAACCAATAAGATTTCAAGGTCATATGTGTGGTGAGAGAAAATTAGGTCTATAGATCAATGAAGTTGAGGGGTGAGAGAAGTACGAATAAACATGTAGAAAATAGGGTCTATATATCACAAGGTGATATATATATATATATATATATATATAATTTAGATATAGTGGAGAAGATCTGTAGCTCATTTGGATTATTTCGATGTGTTTGTGTTGTCTGAGCTGGACGGTTTACTTGCGAAGCTATCACTGCCTCACCAGTAGACAACATTTTCAGCGGATACTTCAATTTGAAGTCAGCTTTGAAATTTCCCTACGAGTTTATTAGTCATCTCTCCTGGTAGGTGGACTTGAACGTTGTAATTGGTCGCTCTTGTCTGTTTTCATACCCTCTAGTCTACTTGTATTGGTGTTGATTGTTTCCTTGATTTGAAGTTTGACTCTTTGTGTGTGAGGTTTCCTTCTTATCGATTGGCAAATTTTGTCTGTGTCAAAAACTCACTGGAGTTCTTGGTTTTTCCTGTCTAATATCTGGACGTTGTCCCATTCGAGTTGATATCCGTGATTGTGTGTATGCAGTGAGGTGATATGAGGGAGTGGATGTCATAACTTTTAACGGCTAGTTTGTGTTCATGGATGCGGAGAGGAAGAGGGTGTCCACTCTAACCAATGTAGTGTTTCTTGCAGTCATTACAACTTATTTTGTAGATGATGTTGGTTTTATCTTCTTTCGTTGTTGAGTCTTCTGGTTGACATAGAGCCAACTGAGTGAAGTGATTTTGTTGGTTTGTGTACGATGTTAGTTCCTAAAGGTTTGAAGAGTCTTGTAGTGATTTCTGGGATGTCCTTCATATATTGTAGGGCTATTTTCTTTATGCTTTCCTTGAGGGCCTTTGATTCGGTAGGTTGTCTTGAGGGTAAGTGGCTTTTGATGATAATACGTGGATATCCACTCTTTTGGGAGACGTCCATGAGATATCTTTCTTCAACATTCCTTAAGTGGGATTGCTACAATGAGTCTTGGCTCTCTTGAATAATGAATGCTTGTATACAACTTCTTTTGTGTGTTATTGGATTTTTGCTGTTGTAATTTAGTATTTGGTCTGTGTGAGTTGATTTTCTATAAACTTGAGTTTCTAATTTTACCGTGGTTGTTCACTTGACTAGGACGTCCAAAAATGGGATTTCGTTCTTGGATTACTCATCTCTTGTGTATTTGATGTCGTTAAAAATGCTGTTTATTAAGTTGTGAGTTTTATCCAACTAATTTCTTTTGATTATCACGAATATGTCATCCACTTAGCATATCCAAATTTTGGGTTTGATCTTCGGTAGGATTGTATTTTCAAGTCGACAAGTACCACAGCTTCTACGATCAGATCTGATATAGACGATCCCATAGAGACACCTCAGCTCAGAGAACACAACTACGTTAGAATATTCTTTACGATAAATCGACCAGTTAATTGATTTACATTCTTGTCTCATTTAACCTACATTCTTTAGTCTTATCT